CGCGCGGTTGGCTGCCGGGCGCGCTGCTGCCGCTGTGTGCGGACAGCGCGGCCACGACCGACCCTTGCCGGCCGTCCGGCAATAACTCCCGTGCACTCTGACCTCAAAAAACATAATCTGATTCAACATGAACATGATCATTAAAATAACTTGAAAACATAACTTTTGCACAATAAATTGCATAGGGCCGTGGCGAGCGCACCGTGCGCCGCCGACGGCGATAGGCCGTCTCTCGACCGAATCAACGTTTCCCTCGGCAACTCAAGACCAATTAAACATGAAACATCATTTGAAAGCTATTGAGACATAAATCGCACGGACAATCTTGACCATAACAGAAGATTTCATAACATGACATGGGAGTGCCTGCGGCGTGCGCGACGAGCGCTGCCGACGGCTTTGAGCCGATTCAGGGCTAAAACGATATTTTACCTCGACCATCATTAAGTAACTAAGTATAAAATGATGTAATCTGATCAATTAAACATAGATGGTTCATGAGTTGCCGGGTAAAATACGAAGTTACTCGATCACAACTTAACTAGGCATAACCGAACCTTAACATGGCATAGCTATGAACTCTTGAACATAAATTGAACACTACAATCTAAAAAGAACTTATTGACATGAAAATGAGTTGAGGATGGCTTTACCTCCTCAAGTGTTCGACGGAATTCACAAAACTGGTCATGACCTTGATTGCGCGTGTCCGTGTGTGATACCAACTACTCCTTGTCGTACGATGCTTCCCTTGCATGCGAGAACTAACACTTTGCCCTCTTAATGCTTGCTGATCGAATTGAATATTTGGGAAGAAGATATGCTGAATATGGCTTACTTATACTTAAGGAAAAGTTAGGAGAAAAATCGTCCAAATGCTTCTTCCTCTTGCCGTGCGTGGTGTATAGAAGAATTAAGGCAAATTGTTGATCTATCTATGGCTGAACTTAAAGCCTTGTATGGTACAAATATGAAGCTAAAAGTTGGGAAAATTTTCGGTCCAAATACTCTCCTATATACTAAAGCCGTGGAAAAATATAATGATGATGAACTTCCTTCATGCTTAGGAAAATACTTGTGAAATTTGGAAACACATTATAAAATTTCCGTACGGTTTTTTTTAGGGAAAATAAGATGGAAAATTGGTACAAATTTTTACACCATTAACATGTGATTAATGTTAATTAATCACTAACTTATGTTTAATTATTTAATTAAACATAATGCTTAATTACCAAAATTATTTCGAACGTAAACGGTACGTCGAAAATAATTTCGGTAATCTCGACTGAAAATAATTAATTCCGAAAATAATAATCGATAACATTATTATATCGGAACTAAAACATAATTCATACTGATAAGCTGACGGGATATTACAATCCTCCCTCCTTACAAAATTTCTGTCCTCGGAAATTCAAAACATAACTGATATACATGAACTATGTACATAGGATAAGAAAATATGTACATCAAAACTGAAAATCTGGAAAACGAGCGCGAATATCGGACTCTGCCTCCCAAGTAGCTCCGTGGCGATCCCACTGAATACGCATGAGGGGAACATCCCGCTTCCGGAGCCGACGAACCTGACGGTCTAGTACAGCTACCGGTCGGGAGGTAGGGGCTGATAACTCGGGAGGTAGGGCTAATCAATACGCGACCTCGCCTACTCGCTCGAGAACCTCGAACAGACCGATGAATCAAGGGTGCAGCTTCCCTCTCTTTCCGAATCGAACAACTCCGCGAATCAAACGAACTCTGAGAAAAGCTGGCTCGCCAACCTCGAACTGAATATCTCGTCGATGATGATCGGCTGAAGATTTCTGTCGACTCTGAGCTGTCCTGAGTCTCTGCCGGATCAACTCGACTTGATCTGTGGTCTCTTCAATCAACTTAGGACCGAGTACTCGTCGCTCCTCGACGTCGTCCCAATAAAGAGGGGAACGACACTTGCGACCGTAAAGTGCCTCGTAAGGAGCCATCTGAATGGAAGAATGATAGCTGTTGTTGTACGCGAACTCCGCATACGGCAACAATGACTCCCACTTAGCACCCCTGACAACAACCAAAGCGCGAAGCATATCCTCAAGTGTCTGAATGGTCCGCTCGGACTGACCATCAGTCTCCGGATGGTAGGCTGAACTGAACTCTAACTTCGTGCCCATCGCCTCATGTAAACTATGCCATAATCGACTGACGAATCTGGGATCTCTATCTGATACGATCGTAACAGGCACTCCGTGGAGTCGAATGATCCCACGGGTATATATCTCAGCCAACTTATCCAAAGACATCTTCATCGAAATGGGTAAGAAATGCGCAACCTTAGTCAATCTGTCGACCATGACCCAAATAGCGTCGTGATGTTCAGACGACCTCGGTAATCCCGTAATGAAATCCATCGTAACTTCCTCCCACTTCCACCTCGGAATCGGCAGTGGCTGCAGGAGGCCGATCGGACTCTGATGTTCGGCTTTGACTTGCTGACAGGTAAGACACCTCCTGACAAACTCGGCGACGTCCTTCTTCATGCCTCGCCACCAGAACGCCCCTTTCAGATCGTGATACATCTTCGTGCTCCCGGGATGGGCCAGATAGGGTGCGGTATGAGCCTCTGATAAAATCTCCTTCTGCAACGCCTCAACCTTCGGGACACGATCCTGCCTCTGAACTCTAAGGCACCATCGGCACCTAGCTGAAAACCATCGACGCCTCCGGCGCGAACCTTGGCATCCATGACACGAACAAACTCGTCAGAAGCCTGCTCTCACTGGATTCTCTCTCTCAGCGTCGGCTGAAGCTGCATGGCACTGACACTGGCACTAACACTCCCCGAAATGGCCGTGGGAAGTGCATCGATCGCCTAAAGCTGCATCCGGGCAAACTCCTGAATTAAGGGACTCTGTTGAGTAATGACGTACGTCAAGTCACCCCTCACCTTTAGGCGTAGGGCATCCGCAACGACGTTCGCCTTCCCCGAATGGTACTGAATAGAGCAATCGTAATCCTTGACGAGCTCGAGCCAACGGCGCTGTCTCATATTAAGCTCCTTCTGCGTGAAGATGTACTGCAGGCTCTTATGATCTGTGAAAATCTCGCAATGACCGCCGTAAAGATAGTGTCGCCAAATCTTGAGAGCATGAACAACGGCGGCTAACTCCAAGTCGTGCGTCGAATAGTTCTGTTCGTGCGGCTTAAGCTGTCGTGAAGCATACGCGACGACCTGGCCATCCTGCATAAGGACGCATCCCAAGCCCTGTCTCGAAGCATCACTGAAGATGGTGAAACTTCGAGAAGGATCGGGAATAGTCAACACCGGTGCTGAAGTTAATCTCTTCTTGAGCTCCTGAAAGCTCGCCTCACAACGATCAGTCCACTCGAACTTCACAGACTTCCTCGTCAGCTGGGATAGAGGGAGGGCAATCTTGGAAAAGCCCTCGATAAACCTGCGATAGTAGCCAGCTAAACTGAGAAAACTGCGAACTTCGGACGGACTCCTCGGTGTCGACCAGTTCTGAACAGCTGAGACCTTAGAAGGATCCACCTCGATACGTGCCTGAGTAATAACGTGACCCAAAAAAGATACTCGCTGGAGCCAGAACTCGCATTTGGAGAATTTGGCAAACAACTTTTCTCGTCTAAGGGTTTCGAGAACCACCCTCAGATGCTCCTCGTGCTCCGTATGGCTCTTCGAGTAGATGAGAATATCGTCAATAAAGACAATAACGAACTGATCGAGGTAGGGATGGAAAATACGATTCATGAGGTCCATGAAAACTGCTGGCGCATTGCTGAGACCGAATGGCATGACGACGAACTCGTAATGGCCGTAACGAGTTCTGAAAGCGGTCTTAGCGATATCTGACTCCTTAATCTTCAGCTGGTGGTAGCCTGATCGTAAATCAATCTTCGAGAACACACAGGCTCCCCTCAGCTGATCAAATAAGTCGTCGATCTTGGGAAGCGGGTACTTGTTCTTGATCGTCAACCGGTTAAGATCCCGGTAGTCGATACACATATGCATGGTTTCGTCCTTCTTCTTGACAAAGAGAACGAGTGCTCCCCAAGGTGACACGCTCGGCCGGATGAAACCGAGTCGTAAAAGCTCCTGAATCTGCGCCTTAAGCTCCTGCAACTCCTTTGGCGCCATACGGTATGGGGCTTTGGATACTGGACCGGCCCCTGGAATAAGATCGATAGAGAATTCCACCTGCCGGTTAGGCGGTCCTCCTGGAAGCTCGTCTGGGAAAATGTCCACAAACTCACGAACGACCGAAACATCGTGAGGTGATCGTGCTTTCTGAGAATCGTCGACAAGGCTCACCAGATAACCCTGGCAGTTGCCTCGTCGCAGCAACTTAGTGGCTTTCGCCATCGAAACAACATGAGGCAATGAACGATTCCTGGAGCCAAAGAAAGTGATCGATTCGTCTCCCAGAAGATAGAGAGTAATCTCCCGGTCGTGACATCTGATGTCTGCATGATAAAAGGATAGCCAATCCATTCCGAGAATAAGGTCGAAGTCCCTCATCTCGAGAACAAACGCGTCGGTAGTCAACACTCGGCCACCGATGGAAAGGCTAAGATCTGAGGCTTTAGTTGAGGTCACTATCTTTCGTCCCGAGGCTAGACTCACCTCGAGAGGATCGACAACGGTAACGGCATGAAATCCGATGGCATCAAGACATCGTCGTGAAATGAATGAATGCGTTGCTCTAGTGTCGAACAAAGCGAAAACATGAATATCATTAAGCACAACCATCCCTGACATAGTACCTGGCTGCTGTGCTGCCTCGGCCTGATCAACCGCGTATACTCGGGCCTGCCTTCTGCCCCTCTGCTGCTGCTGCTGGGGCGGCCTCTGCGCCTGCTGACGTGGCTGCTGCTGCTGTGGTGGCTGCTGAGGCTGCTGGGGCTGCTGCTGAAGTCTCTTCGGACAGCGACTCGCAAAATGTCCAGGCTCGTGGCAGTAGTAGCAAATTTCCTGACCTATATGGCACTCTCCCCGATGAAGTCGTCCGCAAGTCGGGCACGGTGGAACCTGCTGCTGTCTCTGTCGGGTCCTCCTGTCAGTCTGTGCGCCCTTCCCCTTCCTCTTCTTCTCCTTTGTCAGCTGAGCAGCTGGTAGGGCTGGTGGAGCTGCGAATGGCTGAACTGGGGCGGATGGCTGGGCACGATCACGGACGGCCTCCCTCCTAATGTTGGCGTCCACCTCCTGGGCAATAGAAACTGCATGAGCGTAGGTCTGAGTCCCGTGGCCTACAATGTTATGACGGACTGCTGGGTAAAGCCCGTCGATGAACCGCTGTGCTCTCTGGGCCTCCGTGCGAACCAGGTCCGGAACGAAAGCTGCAAGTCTCATAAACTCTCGCTCGTGCTCATCAACAGTACGAGTGCCCTGCTGGAGCGATAAGAACTGACACTCCATCTATGCCCGATAATAAGAGGGGTAGTACTTTTCGCGGACTAACTCCTTGAGCATATCCCACGTACATCCTTCTTTTTCACCGGGATGCATGCTCCAGTAGGCATTCCACCAGAGCTGAGCATCACCAGTGAGCTGAAGCTGAGCGCAGATTACGCGATACCTATCAGGACAGTCCATGACCTCGAAGATAAATTCCAGGCCCTGAATCCATACATCTACGATGCGGGGATCTCCCTGCCCTGAGAATTTTTCAGCGTGATAGTCGCGGAACTGTGCGACTACGGTGGCCTGAGTAGGAGCCTGATGATCGGGTTCCATACGTGACGGCATCTGAACATTAAGAAAGTTTAACATTATTGGATACGTGATAATATTCTGACTGATTACTAAGGCACACAGATCTCTTGACGAGTTGCCAAAAATGGCCGATAAATACTGACGTGAAACCTGAGGAACTCTAGAGTCATATCGGAAAATACTAATTTCTAGAGTCATGAATGTACTGAATTCTAGAGTCATAACTGAATGTCCTGAATTCTAAAGTCCAATCCTGATTCTAGCATCTTAACTAGGTCCTGATCCATAATTCTGAGCATAGACAAAGTAATATGTTTATAACTGAAAACATAAATCAGCACTTACATGTAGTCGGCGGGGCGTGAGCATGACGGTTCAGGTTCTTTTGAAAAATTACTGACTGAAAAACTTTTCAGAGACGCAGAAACGTGCTCTGATACCAATTGTAACACCCTGCCTTATCGTGAAATCAGAGTGCGAAAATTTCGCAAAGTTATTTAAAAATAAAATCTTTTACTTTGCGAAAACTGATTCGGGGTGCTACCGTAAAACGTGACTTATTTTGGAAAACCGTTATCTTAATTTTTAATAAAATCATACGATTACTGATAGCATAATTTTTCCAAAAGTCCGGTCAAAACATAAGTTCATCAAAACCATCATCAGTGGAAACGTAAATCGTCATAATATATACATAGTCAAAACATAAAAGTCCTGAAGCCTCTGTCATATCACGCTCCCGGCCCGACGTCCTGACCTGAAAAACATGATATCAGTGAGAAGTGAGCACTATGACATTGTGCTCCGTGGAAACTCATACTAATGTAAACATTGAAAATAATAACAACATCATGATCTTGGCATATACATAACCTGAACATGAAACCGGTAATAACATGAACATGAATCTGATATCATCACGTGAACGTGAACCATGACCGTTACCTCATCTGCCGGCACAAACTAATGTCGAACACCATGTGCACACTCTAGTGGGAAGACTAGGGCCACTCGAACCCAGAATGGACCGGGGACCATTCCGAGCGGATACATGACATGAAATACATACCTCAAACATGGTACCGTAATTATAATCAATGTAGTACTTAGTCTGAGTCCCCACCTGATCCGTGAAAATAAAGGCAGTGCTGATACTCGTGACATGATCAAACTGAAATATAATATAAACAATTTCTAATGACTATGCTCAGACTGTTTACTTAACTAATTATTAACGTTAAGATGCTCTACTAAACCTGACATGATATTTAGACTTAACCGGAATAACCGGAACTGATCTGACATGAACTGATCGGACATGAACTTACTGAACTGAACTGAACCCGGAATTTTAACTGAAAATAAAGCAAAAAACATGAACCGGGCTGAAACCATAAAGTATGGACCGAACTGGTTAAAATGGGACTGAACCGGTCCAGCCGGTCTGAACCGGACTGCCGGTTGGCTGAACTGGGCAGTCGATGTCGGCCCGGCCAGCAGCCTGCCGCGTGCTGCGCGCATAGGCACTGCCTGGATGGCTGCGGGTGCTAGACGATCGTCCCAGGCACGACAGGGCGCGCTGGGTGCGTGCAGCGTGCCGCTGGACGTGTAATTGTAAATGGCGGAACGCGTGCGTGCGTCGGGCGCATCGCAGCGTCGGCCTGAGCACTGCCTCGCGCT